TCAAGTATTACGCTTCTATTTTACAAGCTTTGCTAATTTATAACTAGCAAAAATTGAATATTAAATTACGAAAATTTGGCAAAAATTTTGTCCAGCTCACATTTGTTTTGTTATAATATAAGCAGAAAAGTATTATCGTGGTATATTGTAAATAACTACCATAAACCTCCATTTTCATTTTGTGGACCTCAAAAGTTTTTTTAGTTCACAAGCACCCTCTGACTAAGACCCCTGAGGGTCAATAAGGACAATTTTAGGAATCACTGATCTAAAGTATGTATACTTATATATTTCCAAGAACTTCAATTCGTTATTTAAGCAAAACTCAATGTTTAAAATTGTATAAATTATAGTGGTATGGAACTTTATTTTAAATGAAGAGAAAGCTATTTGAAATTTATTGTGTTGCTAAAATGAATAAAGCGTTGGAAATTAATAATAAAACATAATCAAACTTACGTTGTTCATTTTATTGAAAAATTATTATTCATCAATAAATGGCTTAGAATGTGAATTTAGAAGTAATTTCATATTTTTAGTCAGAAATGCACTGATATTGTAGGTATTAATCAAATCGTATCTGGTAATACTTTGACAAATTGAATAATATTGATGGTTTATACTCTAAACCTCTATATGATAAAAATAAATTTTTAGCACATATTATTTTAATGTAAAAAATTAAAAACATTTATTTTTTATTGTATAGAGTAAGCTTTTAGGAACAAACAACAATTAATAAAAATGAAAATATATCCAATTATTCACAAGTAGTCCAGATGATGAAATCGTCGGCATTATAGAGTTTGTGAAAAAAATTACGATTTGTGAAGTATATATATATATATATATATATATATATATATATATAAATATATTCGGTTTTGCATGTATACAGTTATTAAACTCTTTCTAAACTTTTATTAAATTTTTATTAAATTTGGTGGTTGACTTCGAGTTGATTATAGAATTGTTTATATCCACAATTGGAAATGATAGAATTAGTATTATTAAAATTTCAAATCGTAAATATTGAAAAAAAATACTATTTTGAACATTTATTGAGTAGTTTTTGATTAATTTTGATTAGTTGATCCAATTGATCATTAGATTCATATAATTTATTATAGAGAAAATATACTGTATTTTCATTATAAATTATATCAGCAAAACAAAATTATATTGTGCATATTGTGAGAAATCTTACGTTTTGCTCAATAGAATTTGTATATAGGGTCCGCCATATAACTTTTTTTTATTGGTAGCAATTTAGAATTTTTGACAGCCATTTCAACGAAATTATTTTCGATTAATGACCAGAAGGATTGCACTTTCAAATAGAAAAGATTTAGATTGAGAAATTATTCAGTAGTTTATATATAGCATTTTCAAAAAAAAAAAAGTTATCTGACCTACCCTATATAAAATAATATTTTTTTTATTCTTCAAGATGCAATTACAATATGTTTTCAAAATACGTAATGTTAAGATCAAAATAGAGTTTACCCATTGGTATCCATTTTTTTGTATTGATTGAAAAGATGTTCGTAATTTAGGTGACTTTTAAGAAGCTTTACTAATAGTCTAAATCCATAATCAAAATAATGAAAAATCATCAAACAAGTAAAGTAACAATAAAGCAAAAATGAAAAGAAAATAAGATAAAATAGAATAAATAATTTTTTTTTTTTGACTTACCAATAATTTTCGTAAATCTTACTTCACCCAAACCAAAATAATCCTTCACCACAACCCACTATAATCCAAAATAATTTCACTAATCTCGTCCAATTTTTTTTTAAATCTTTGCTAAAACAAAGATTTAAAAAAATCACAATAGTTACCAAAACACAATAAATTCTCAATCCAATCCACTCACGCACTTTTCTTTACCTATTTAGATATTTCTAAAATTTCTCGTCTAATTACAATTTTGTATTTCGCGGTACCATGTATCCGCGCCGCGTTTCTTGATAGAAATGTTAGTGTTGAATTTAGCCCAGGTACATCAACCGTGTTCTTCGCCGTGCTCTTACCTCTTTCCTACCACCTGGTAAATTATTTCTATGAATCTCCACATCGTCTTCGGCAAAGTCGATGGAAGTGGCTTTGGCGCGTGTTATAGTTTGTTTTTTATTATATGAAATACATATTGCACCAGTTGTTAGGCTCAGATCACATTGGATTCGATGATATATATTGTAATCAATAAGGTTTAACCCTGATGTAATGAAATTATATAGATATTTAATACTCTTCATACTATATAATACTTCATATATTGCTCTATTTTGAAGTGTCCAATAATCTCTTACGAAACAAGAATAATGGTATAGGGATTCAACAAGTATTGTTAAAAATTGGTTTATATAGGTGTGTATGCGCATATTTATATATGTGTGTGTATGGGTGTAAATGTATATATTCAAATATATGATTATAGTTGTGTGAATTAGTTTAGTAAGTGGCCAATAGTCTACAGAGTAAATAAATAAAATTTAAAAAAATATTTTTGAAGTAAAACTTCTTCATGGGCGAGTAGGGTGTAAATCCGTACAAATGCAAGGGAAGCGCGTTACGTCAGATAAGATAAGAGTCGAGTGCCAATGATTCGTCATTCGCTCTCGACGATATCATTTCTATACGAGTCGATTGTGATTAACCGTCGTGTATGTGAATAGAGATCTGTCGTTGTATGCATACCGGTGTCAACGTTGTATGCGTACCAATATCTAAAAGGAAATCTGCATAGATAAATACACATTTTAAAGTTACATCGTAGTACAAATCTTGATTTACTGAAAAATGCATGAATCAGAAGAAAAATTTACCCTGTTCCTTGAAAATATTGATTAATAACATTAATGACTAGCAAGTTTATTGATTAGAAATTATTTCTATATTATTCGTAGTTTCTATAAATCTTTGAAGTTATTAAAGAGAAAAATATTTTTCAGGCAAGACAAATATTACAACTGTTCAAAGAATGAGATTATAACGCCAGCGAAAACGTAAAAAAGATCTAAGCAGTCAATGAAGGTATGTTAATTTTAATTAAAAGAAGTTTTTCAAACACAATTACATGATGAGTGAAGTTGTGAAAACAATATTTGTTTAGGCGTTGTTTAACATAATCCACTGTGTGAACGAATATTATAGAATTTATTAATCAGCAACTACTTCATTTCTCTAATGAACGTTCATTTCTAAATGCTAATTACAATGACAAATCGATCATATCATATTTGAAGTCTGACTTTAATTACATTATTATTTTTAAATATTATACATATTTTTAATGCTATTATAAATATATAATTTAAAATGTATCATTATATAAATGTGTGTAATGGTTGACACTAATAAACATATGCACCACGAAAGTTACGATATTACTGATAAACATTATTTAAAATTGTTATATGATGTATTTATTTTTACATAAATGCCATCTTGTACAGTAGCAAATAAGTTTTACTTCAATCGCGTGTGAACCTTACGCGCACTTTTTTTTTTCTAAGAAATTAGATTCCTTGAACTTCTTAACCCAACTAAATCACAGGTCTATATTTGATTGGTTAAGAATGTAATGAGCAGTCGCTAGTACCTAAAAATAGATTAATAAAAAAATAATATTAAATTATGAAAACTTGAAAATTAGTATCAATTCAAGTTCTTACTAAGTAACTTTATCTAAACAAATAAGAATCATGTATCAACATATAACAATCATGTATCAATCTTTAACATCGTATCACTTTGATTTGATTCAGAATTGCCGGAACCTTGTATCACTGGTATACATGCAAAATCAAAAACATTATTTATAAGTTTTTATTCAGTAAAATTTTCGCCTGAGTTGCTACAGCCATTGCTTCATAATTGATTAATTCTATATCACAACAGGTAGCATTGATTCAAGTTATATTTTTACTTCGACCTCTAAATTTTAATTATATGTATTTTGTATCTAAGTTATATGAATTTTGAGTAATTTGCTTGTTTGTGGTCGAAGATAGAAAAGCTATCATCGGCGCTTTAGTGATTAGTTTACTATTGATTAACTATGAAATCATTTTCAAAAATCTTGCTATCTCTTTACGGATTTGTGCATCATTCACAGAAATTACTTAGTAATTATCTAAATACATTTTTTATATCTGTGTCATCTAATGAGCAGTCTACAAAACTTCTCCAGTTGTGCAGAAAATGTTACCTTAATCTAAATAATTATAACATCAAGGACTACTACGTACATGATATACGCAATCGTGCCAGTATTTTCTTATAATAGATGCCTAATATTTGATAAAGTAATTTATTATGTTTGGTCTTATCTTAATTAAAAATATCCTAAAAATTTTATATATATTATTACACTTTACATCTTATACATTTTATCTTACAAATATTAACTATTTTGTTTCTAATCAATTATTTATAGGTTACTCCATTTAATTAGTCGCGTTGATAGCTATTTTTAACCAAAATAATTATAATTTAAATTTTTCATTTTTTCAAATGTTACACCCCTTAGAAATTATTGAAAGAAAGTCAACCATTTTTGAAAATACCAGAAAAGCCTTAAGTATTGCCGAATTATTCTAAGATATTAGTACAGCAAATATTGTTTATAAAAATAGCAATTAACACAAAATGCAAAAAATCTTAATATTTTGTTCGATTCTGCGTGAACAATGTCGTAGATACATCAAATTATGATTAAATTCACGATATTTACATAATATTCATTCATAAACAATCATTTGCGTGCCAAGATTACAAGATACCCTCAACTATGTATCCAAAGTGCATTCAAAAAATATTGTGGATAGAAGGTTAAATCCAATACCCCACCAAAGGACAATTGTTTATCGATATAGTATCGATAGAACTCCAAAATATTTGTTTACATGTTCCTATCTTTACAATACCGCATTTTTGATCTATGGATGTCGATATTATTCCAATAATTGCAATTATTCTTTCATTTGGTGCTTACATCTGGTAGGCACTACATGGCGCTTGACCCGGGCGTCCATTCACGCCCGGGTCATAATGCTGCGTGGCCGAGAGATGCCTAAGTAACCGGGAAAGTTTTAGTGAGTTAATTTTTGTATTTTTATAATTAGTTTAGTGAGTGAGTTAATTATTTCATTTTTTTGTTCGAGTTCAGAGAATAATTGTGAGTATATATCATTTAGATAGCATATATTTGTTCTATTCCAAGCATTTATTTAACCTTTTGTTACATGCACGCGCCAACAACAAATTTTGCCGTCATTACTATTGCGTCCTCTTCAAAATGCCGAATATTGCACTCTTAAGGGTTCAGTTTTTTTGGAATGCTGTAGATCAAATATAGATTGCAAATAATGCACTTTTTATAAAATTATCCATATATGTATCTCATTTATATGTTGAAAATTTTAGGAATTTTGCGGTGAGAACTTACAGTCCGACGTGTGTCTTGTTAAAAATATTTGCGCATGTATCAAAAGGTTATTTAAATAACAAAATAAATATATTAATAAAGTTACCTCTAATTTGACTTACAAAAACTTGTGTTAAACACACATTTGTCATTTAATCGGAGAGCAAGAGTGTTTTGTTTATTGAAGTGAAACTTCCAATTTGGCATTAGTTAGATATATAACATTAAAGACGCGTTTCAATTGGAAAGTTCAGTTTTCTAAAGTGAATTTTGAGTTGCTAAAAATGTGATATGAATATATTTTATTCGATTTATTTGGTAATAGAAAAACCACATATATACTACTCCTTCTAAATTCATAACTTTTTAAAAAATTGTCATTACTATATTACTATATATTACTTTTAATTTTACTGGGGTATGGGCAAAAATCTTCGAGTCTGTTACAAGTTATATAATAATCAAATAATGTTGAAACTCTGCTAGACGTTCATTCGGACTTACAATTTTATGTGATTTATTTAATATTGAGTGTGCATAGTTTCATCAGTAACTTACACTTATAAACATTTTTGTTTTGAACAATTAATAGTTTATTGAATAAAATTCTATGTAAATATATTTTACTTTGAAGGAAGATCCGAAGCAACTTGTTTTACAATGGTGCCATTAGACCCTTGGATGCTCCACTTGATCAGATCAGATGACCGGGCAATTTATGAGAAAATGATCAATAAAAGTTGAGTTGTAAAATTATTAGAATAAATTTTGTATAATTTGAACATGTCATGTTACGAATGAAATAAAATTGACTCTCGATACAAATGTTATTATGTTTTAATTTTACTCAAACATTTTTTTCATAAAAAATATATAAAAGTATTCTAATTTAGCATTACTATTGTACATCTTCGGAAAGGATTTTGCCACACATAAATATTGTTTTTATGAAACTTTGCATAGCGATCGAGTTTATGATTTGAATAATTATTCTAAAATGTGAATTGGTTTAATTAAAAAATTTCATTAAAATTTGGAATAATAAGCATGCTTTTAGCACATATACCGTAATTGTCATAAGCAGTTAAATAGCTAAGTGATTAGGAGGATACATTATTATATTATTTATTACAAGTACTATTACATTCACATATCGGGAATTTTTATGAAGTCAAAATGCCACATACGGTTAGTTTATATATTCACTTTAAATTAATTAGTCTTAAACTAATTAGTTAGTAGACACTATATCAATTTCAGACTTTTAGCAGCAACTCGACGTTGCATTCTGCCTAAAATGTACCTGATTGTAAACATGATAAATTTTAGAACGAAGAAAAGCTACTGTTATGCAATTTGTTTTGTATGAATTTGTGATCATTGAAGAACATATGGCATATATGTTCATATTTATTATATGTGAATTTTTGGTAATTTTCTACATTTTTTTTTTTAGTTTAAAGCAATTTCCTTAAGGCATAGCTAGTTGTTTCCAATGACGTTACTTAGCGTCTTGATACTTTTTTATCATTCCACAGATAAGGTATATTTTTCTTATATGTATGTATTTTTCATGAAAGTTTGTTTTTTGAATTACTAGGTAGTTTTTTCGTATTTAAAAAAAAATTAATTGTATAATGAAAAAGGGTAAAAAATACTTTGAAAATAACTAATAGTATACTTTGGACTGTCTTATCACTGCTTTGGTTTATTCCAAGAATAAGCAACTTTTTTTTATAAAAATACTTTGAAAATAACTAATAGTATAATAATAATATTTTGGACTGTCTCGCCACTGCTTATTCCAAACATAATCAACCTTTTTTATAATAATACTTTGAAAATAACTAATAGTAAATTTTGGACTGTCTTACCACTACTTGGATTTATTCCAAAAATGATAAACTTTTTTTTACACACAGGCTGCATTTAAGTTTTAAAATGTTGTGGTTCAATTATCTTCAAAACCAATTGAATTTTCACAAAAATATTAAAATTCTCTGTAATTATATTAAATATAGTGCACAGACAAGTGCTTATGTCCTAAAATTGTAGCTTATTATTCCAGATTTTATTGAATTGGTAATGTTTGAAACAAATGTTTTGATTTATCAGTTATCACACCTCAAAATCAACTTTTGGCATAAATGACTACAATATGTTTTCAAACTATGATGAATTTTTAAAATTTAACACAGACATACATACATTTTTCAAATTTGGTCTCATTTGAGTCTTGAAATGTCGAGAAAACATAAAATTAGCAAATCTTATTTTTTTATGAAATCATAAACTTCTTCAGGAAAAAGGGTTCCTACAAATACTCCTGATTAGTTTACCTGAACTCTCCACTATGATCATTGTTGCTTTTGCAATAATTTTTTGCATGTAAATAAAATTATGGACTGCATATATGCTAAAGCCTTAATATGCAAGATAATAATAAAAATATTTGTTCTATCTAATTATGGAAATATTTTAATTGACATCATCCTGTATATATTTTTCGCAGCGGCACTGCGTTCATTCCGATACAATAATAAATAATACAAAGGTCATTATGTTACAAAACATCTTGATGGAAATTATCAGTACAACATACTGAATTGAATAGGCTACTTGCACTTGTATAATGCTAATACAGTTGACAGATTTTTAAACAGTTTTGTGACAAATAATAAATTTTATTGTAAGTGGTCATAAATGTTAAAAGTTGTAGTAAATAGTATAAGTTGGATATGTGTTTCTTTGTGTAATAGTGGTTTACATAAATATCAATTACTAGTGTTTGTTTATGGCTTATAAATACAAAAAGTGCATACCTTCAAAAAAAAATTCAATGATTTTTCAATAGAAGTTCTGAAGGGGTCTATTTAGTTTTAATGCATTGCGATCAATTTGTTTTTTTTTTATTCTCTTTATTGAATTACAATCTGTCTTTACAAAAAGGAAGACATTGAGTAATTTTGAAGATATATGAAATATTAAACATTGAATCTAAAAGGTTAGCAATAGTAAGCCTTTTCAATTTTGATATATTAAAATTAAATTTTGTGATTATGCTCAATTATTTTTAAAAGTATTGTGAACAAAATTTGTGCTACAATTTATTTTGAAGAGGTTATGATACAATTAGCTAAACCTAAAATTTCTCAAAATATGGCAAATAAAATTTTGTTTCTACAGTTTTTTTACAGTCTTTTATTGCATTATGTGGAATATGATACATATATATATATACATATAATTCTGCACACGGTTTTCTACCCTGAGTACATGTATTTTACATTTGTTTCTGTTTCTATAAATAAATATAATTAAAATTATTTTTTTAATTTGCTTTACATCAAAAACTATTCTTATTATCTTACATGTACATATAAAATATTTCAGTAAAAGTAATCCGTGATTGATTTTAACTATTTCCAATAAATGGTACCTACTAATGGCAAATGATCTGAATTGATTGATGAATTTGGTGATCACCCAAAACCCATAACTGCAATATTTAATAATCTGAATGCTAAACGATTATAATCAATTAATATTACAATAAAATCATTATTATTGAACATGTTCTACTGATTTTACTAAAAATATTTATTTAGTTTTGCAATTGTATTCATTTATAAGTGTAATAGATAATGTAAACAACGACGTCATTAATAGCTCTTACGTATTACTTTGTATACAATTGATATATCATATGAACAAGTTTTTTTTCCATTCGGTGAGTAAACTTGTAGAAATTTTTAGGAAAATATAATGTAATTTTTTTTATTATAACGTAATTTTTTTTTAATTATAAGGTAAATTAATTTTTTTTAAATATTTTTTGCCTATTATTTTGTGAAAAGCAAAATTTGAACGATCAGTGGAATTTTTTTTTTAATTAATATTTTTATCATTATTGTCTTTGTTTTTTAAATATCTTTTGTCGATTATATTGGGGAAAGCAACATTTGGATGATAAGTAATTTTTTTTTAATTAATATTTTTACTATTATTGACTTTGTAAACAAGTCAATTAGCCATTTTCAATTAAATTCATTATTCTATACGATTATTATGCAATATTTATAATTTTGTTTCACTAGATTTAATAAAATTATATAGAGCACCCCATATTTTTTATATCTGCCAGCAATACTGTAAAAATAGTTAGAAAAAGTAAAACATTAATTCTGCACATATATACCAAAATTTAATTAAAATATAATTTAGTACATTAATAAAAGGTGAACCACTGGGTTTTCCTTTTAAAATTCTGTCATTTGTCATGTTTTTCTATTCAGATAGATTGTAATTTATAAGTAAGTTAAAAAAAAAATCTGCATATGCGTTTGAGTGCGAAAAATTTTAGAAGACTTCTCTAATATGATCTACTTGAACTAAAAAAATGAATTTTTAATTTAAACTTTATTTTTATTATATTGAAAAATGCAAATCTGATTTTAATTGCAATATTAATGTGTAAATTTGATATAGGAATACGTTAAATTTAAATTTGAATTGAGGTATGAGTTCTTAGTTAAAAATAGTGAAAAAATAGTGGTATATTTTTAAATATTTCTGTTAACAAGTTCATTCTATTCATCATCATTGCAACTTAAATCTCAAATTTTAATTTAACTTACATACATATAATACTTCTTCAATGTGGCTTACTCTACGTACATATATATAAAGTAAATGCATACAAAGTAGGAGTATATTTTAATTCAAATTATATATTGTCACTTACGATTACGACAAAAGTATGTAAATTATTAATAATTTATCTTATTAACATTTGTACATTCTGACAATTCATATAAAAAATTTATGTTTTCAAATATTTTGTTCAACAACTTGTGTAATTCAGATTCATTTTCACAACAATCCGTTTTTTTTTACTGGAGCTATAAATCATATGCCTTTTCAAATAAACTTTGACCATTTCAATGGTCAAAAATAATGGACCCAGAACGAAATGTAATTCGAGGACTTTGGCAACATGTGGGATCATATTTTTTTATGTGTATGAAGTGGTAAATGCCCTTTTCTTGCGCCACGTGGTGGACAAAGACAAGCCATATGTACACCAGTTGCGAATTACTTAAAATTTTATTTTTGAGAATATAATGTACCTAGAATTCTATTGCGTTATGGTGTTTACAAGAATGTTGTATTTAGTTTATAACAAGAATGCTATTTTTTATGTAGCCTTATTGTTGAAGCTATAAAGATCTTTCTAATACACGTGTTACTGATAACAAATAGTAGTATGTCCGAAGGCAGGTCCATGGTGTGCAAATAAATGATTTCCTTATCCTTCGTTGTCTATCATTCCCATTACCACTATCCCCCTTTTTACACATTTTTTTATATATTTTCCTTTCCATAAAAAAAAAACAAAGTAGATTAATAGTTAGCAAAATTAACATAAAAATAATAAAAAAAAAAATAAAATAAAAAAAATATTTTCCTTTCCATGCTTCCATGCTTCCTGATCCTGCGCGTCGGATTTCAGTTCCCTGTATTTTCTCTTCTGGCGTAAGTCGTCAATCATCTGCATTCTTCTTCTTCCCATTCCTTTCAGTCCAGTGGTTCTAATATTTTACAATTATTAATCTTTATGGTTTTTATAAATTTATTTTTGTAAATATTCATGTCAGTAATATCAAAACTATTCTCAGTGTTCTATGAGCTGTTCTAATGTATTTTCTAATATATGGCTTTATCACAACTCAATGGATGTCCTTTTTCTATTTTTTTTTATTATTATATCTTTTATTTACAACTGTCCAGTTATGGACATTTAATAAATTTGATGAATTTACAATAGTCGGCCGAAAAGGGACATTGTATACTAAACTTTTTCTATATGACAAAATTTTTACTTCAAGCGATTGCCAACCTGTGATTCTCTGTCTCTTAGGATATAATTTTACATATTTTGGTTTATTATTTTGTAGCCTTTCAATAAATTGTAATATATATTGACCATTCAGAAAATAAGATCGATCAAAAAGTTAAGAGTGCAACAATTTTAAAGGTTGGAAACCACTGTTCTACATACTTGCTTCAAAAGTGTAATGTGACATTTTGCAGGAATGCTTTAGAAGGGTATTTTTACTTCGAAATATATTTGGGTCTGTATTTTCAAGTGGACACGCATACCATTACATATTTGTACTTGAATCTTGAAACAACGTGGTTGCAAGGCCGAGGCACTTACGATGGCACTATTGGCACTACGAACACACATATTCTCATATATAAACTTTTTTTTTGTTTTCATCTCATTTATGTGTCTCTTCTATAAAACTTTTATAGTACATTTACAGTTTTTGTAATTTGTTTACTAATTACTTTAATTACATTCAAATTCATTTCATGAAAATAATCCTTTTATAACATTCAGGGTCCTTGGCTAATATTCACGCGAAATAGTTTGGTATGACAAACACACCATGCCAAACTATTGTCTGATCGACTCAGAACGGCAAAAAAATATTTTAATTAATTAATAATTGATAATTCTGTATTTCTGTTAATGAATAATTAATTGATAATTCTGTATCAACCAAGTATTGTCTTTGACAATGCATCGTCTTGTAATTTTTTTTTTTTTAAGTAAAATTTCTTTAGACGCGACTAGGGTGTAAATCCGTACAAATGCAACGCAAATGCGTTACGGCAGAACTGTACGTCATTTTCTTTTGATGAAATCACTTCTATACGGGTCGATTATTATTAGTCGTCGTGTATATGAATAGAGATCTGTCGTGGTATGTGTACCGGCATCGACGTTGTATGCGTTCCGATATCAACAAGGAAATCGGCGTATGTGTGCATCACGAGTGTTACCATATTACTAATAAACATTATTCAAAATTGTTATATGATGTATTTATTTTTACTTAAATGCCATTTTGTATAGTAGCAAATAAGTTTTACTTCAATTCTTTTTCTCTTTCTTTATTTTATTATGCTTTTTTGAAAAACATACCATGCCAAACCATTGCCTGATGGACTCAGAGCGGCAAAAAAAATTTTTGTATATAACTCTGTATCAACCAAGTATTGCCTATGACAATGTATTGTCCTGCATTTTTTTTTATCCTTCCTTATACGTTGTTGATTACTTTATTATACTTTTTTTTTAAAGAAAACACTGAGATGTAATTTTTTTTTGGAAAACTACTAACAGTTTTTCTTTCTTGTTACTTATAGATCTTGCTATTTTTAATTATATACATTTATAGAAATTGAAAAAAAAAAATTGGAATAGTAGAATATCCTTAGGGTAGAAAACCATGTACATAATTATATTATATCTCAAAAATGTTAAACTGTAACTGTAATTCATTTTTCAGAAAGCTTTTCTTATTCCTCATTATCTTATTATAGATTTATAATTTTGGTAGGTGTACGTATCGGTATCTTTATAAACAAATTCTGTCTATAAGAATAATCAAAGCATTTTTTAAAAAAACATCTTTGTACGTCATTTTTTAAGTTTGTTTTACAATTCTTGCAGATGTTTTTAGACGTTTCTGGTGTCACACTATATCCTTGCCCAAGGGACTTAAGACGCCAATATGATTGCATTTTTACTAAAGATGCCCTGCAATTTCTGGCGGATATCATTGCACAATTCGATCACAGAATTGAAGAAGTTAGTATAAAATTTATTAGAAATATTACTATGATTCTTTTAAAATAATGTTTAATTTTATAATTTTGTTAAAGTTGTACGCAAAGCGACTGGAAATGAGATCAAAGATTTCTCAAGGATGGATGCCCAAATTTTATACGAGTAAGGAACGTGATGATAAGGTATGGAAAAAAATAATGTAAACTATTGAAGTAGATATATTATTTATTATTTTAAAATGATATAATTTGTGACACAATCTAGCACTATATCATAAAAATAACATATATAATACATACACATGTCTAACACTATTCATCATATAAATTATAAACTATTATATAATCACATGATTAACATAAAAATTTATTTATAGAATAATATTGATTAGGTAGTAAATGATATTTTTATTTTAATGTTCTGCATTTCTAATTCTCGGATTTATATATAGACAATTATTTATATGTTTCGACACTAAACCAAAACTAGTAGGACGCATGGCAACCTGCCTTAAGGCAAATTGCTGGAACTTCCCGTACCGTAATTAAAAATCTTGGTACAAAACCCAAAAAAATTTACACAAAATTTGTAAACATTACTAAAATCTCTAGAAAATATCTGATAATTTGATGTGCATATGTCCAATGAACATTTTTGACCGCCAAATGGCATTTCTTTTTAACTTATTTTTATTGAGAGTCCACAATTGCTAGACCTGCCTTCCCAATCAGTTCTTCATCTTGCCAATACAAGTAAAATGTTTTTTGAATTAATAAAATCGGTGATCCGTTTTCTTAAAAACTGAGTTACTGTTTTTGGCACTTTTTGCCCCGTATCTTTAGAACGGCTAGACCTGCCTTCGCCAAAAACTAATCAGCACGTCTCCTTATCAATACGAATCGAATGTTTGCTGAATTATTCAAATCGGTTGATTGGAGTTCCCGAAATCGTCGACGAAAATTTGTATCCGCCCACGCACACATTCACATACACACACATACATCCATTTTTTCTAAGGTATGCCAAAATGTTCAGGACTTCTGAAACGTAAAGATATATAAAAATTTTCATTTTCGATTTTTTTGCGTTTACTAAAACTTACCCTACAGGAAGTTAATAACAGAAAACAACTAATAAACAAAATAACAACAAAATAATAATAATTTAAATAATATTGAAATATGAAACTATAATGAAACATTTTTGAACAAACTCATTTAAAACAAACTTTATTACATTATATTTCAAAAAAAACACAGGTCATTTTTCTTAAATAGAAGATTTGCAAAATCTTGTTTTATTCATTTAAATTTTTTCTGTATCAATAAACAAAGTACTTCTTCTTTTTTTATTTTTGACAGTTATTCAAATTTGATTAATATCAAAATAGTGAAATATCACTCAATATTCAACTTCATATTTTATTGCTCACTTTTTTATTATTTTGGTTTTTGACTCTTAGGGTCAATTTCCAATTTATTACTTGATTTTTCTTATCAAATATCGTTTTCTATAATTTTATTAATTTTGAAGTGACTCAATAGTTAAATCAGTCAACTAGCAGTTTATTCTATTATAATAATGAAATAATTGAAATATAAAAATATAATATATTTAATTTTTCATTTAATAATTATTAAATTTTAATAATTTTTTATTACATAATTTGTAAGTTTTGGGAAATGGGATGTCCTTCTTCAATTTTTAAAAACAAACCAAAAAATTCTTCATACATTTTACACTTTATATATTCAAAATCTGAAAGAATACCCTCTTTACTTTTTACAAAGAAAAAACATTCAAAAACACACTCATTATAAATTGACTCATAAACTCGCCTAAAAAATATAATTGATACTCTGATAGATTTTTTATTGAACAACTAGAAATCATGTATCCATTTTACTAGATTTTTCTTACAATTAGTGTTTTTATAGTGTGTGCTTGTGATGTTAATCTTGTTTGATTGTGAAATAAAAATTTGAATTGTTTTTTTTGATTACTTTATACCTATTCTGAAGTTTAGTGTTTGTAGAATAATCTTTATGAAAATTAATTTTACAAACAATTTTCTTTCAATCAGTTGTCGGTGAGAAATTAAAAGTGTGTTTTGTGTACAAATCATATTTTATTAATGTTTAATGAAGTATTACATTTTTAAATTAATAGTTTAGTTTTTTTTGAAAAAGTGATAATATCCAGAAAATGACTACTGAGTAACTACTGAGTTGTTTTTTCCAACATTACATGCCCTTGTAATATACAAAGTCCCTTTTCGGCCGACTATTGTAAATTCATCAAATTTATTGAATGTCCTTTACTGGACAGTTGTAAATAAAAGAGATAATAAAAAAAATATCCAGAAAATTAAAAATGTACGTAAAATATATATTTATATATTTATATGTGTCGGGTATGCGAAATTTAATCATCGGTATGAATTTGATTACTTGTGAGAAACTTCCTAAGAGACAATTCTCATTACTAAATTTAACGTCGTATCTTATTTCATAGCGGAAAAATCGGCGACAGTGTATCATCCTCTGGTACAGATTTATTGACATGAGAAATAAAACTATTACATAATATATTTTAAAGTATGATTTATGAAAAATAATGCGGTAATTAAATATTGAAATTAGTGGTGTTTTAAGGCAAATTGCTAGAACTTTTCTCACCGAAAACTAAAAATGCCAAAACTTCTCGTACCTAAAATTTGTAAAAAAAACTTCTTTTATATTTTGAAATTTTTTGAACATTTTTGCCGTGTAGCAGTCCAACGGACAAACATTGCTTCGGAACCCATAGAAATGTTAGCATTTACTAATTATTCCTCTATTATGTTGCGACTTAATGGTTTAACTATAATTAATATATTACTAACTATAATATACGCTACGCATATATCCGATTCTCAGTTTCTCAACATTGTATTCATCCCAAGAACTGTTGTTACATTGTATTAACTCATATCGAGTAACAAAAGTATTATAATCAAAAATAGGATCGATGAACTTTTTCCTAATGCGTACGTGATCCTCTGCATATGACGCAAGTAATTCCTATGAATTTCGATCGGAGAATCACATAATTTGCACCCACACATATAAATGAAATTTAGTTTATTATATCCTAAAAGGAGTAAAGCCCCTCTGCTAAATTAAATGTTTTACTAGCTGTAAGTGGAATTCTGTCTTAAGGCAATTAAGGCATCATAATTATTCTGTCATAAGGCATAAGAGTAACTATAAATTTGACAAAAAATTACTTTTTTTAAAAAAAAATTTTTTTTTAGGAAACAAATTTTTTTTGGAAACAAAATTTTTTTGAAAAGAAAAATGTTTTCTTCATTTTGACATATTTTGGAAATTCTGAACTTTTTTTCAAAGTAATCGTATTGCTTGAACTGCATAAAGACGAAATGTCAAAGCGCGCAAGTGCCGCGCCGCCGTCTAACGCATAAGCATTGGTACGGAACCCATAGAAATGTAAAAAAAAATTATACTTATTGTTAAAATCTCTACAAAATATCTGATAATTTGATGTGCATATGTCTAATGATCATTTTTGACCGCCAAATGGCATTTTTTTTTACTTTTTTCATTAGATCTCCGAAACCGCTAGACCTGCCTTCATGAAAATTTGATCAATGCTTCATCTTGTCAATATAAGTAAAATGTTGTTTGAATTATTCGAATCGGACGCTCCGTTCTCTTAAAAACTGAGTTACCGTTTTTTGGCACTTTTTGTTCCGTATTTTCGGAACGGCTAAATGGCTTCTGCCTTCGCCAAAAACTAATCAGCACGTCTCCTTATCAATACGAATCGAATGTTTTTTTAATTATTCAAATCGGTTGATCCGTGTTCCCGAAATCGTCGACGAAAATTTGTATCCGCACATACATACACACACGCACATACACACACACACACACATACATCCATTTTTTCTAAGATATGCTAAAATATTCAGAAGGTTTTGAAACGTAAAGATATATAAAAATTTTCATTTTCGATTTTTTTGCGATTACTATAACTTGCCCTACGGGAAGTTCATAAAGCCGAAATGTAACTTAATGAAGGCAGTTGTGTAATTTTTCTATAGACAACATCTCAGAGTATTGATGAACGGGAAAATGACAGTATACATTAAGAATATTGTGTTTAATTTGAACTTATTATGATATTACAATAACATCTAACGAAATTGGTTGATGAAGAGAAAACTCTATAAAATATCTCACAATTTAATGTGCATATGCCTAATAATCACTTTTGACCGCCATTTTTTTTTATTATTTCTATCCTCTAAATTGTACTCTTTTTAAATTTATGTTATTGTTCATTACTGTTACTTGATGTTGATTATTTAGCAGTTGTAACAAATATAGTAATTAAAAAAAGTATTTTTTTAAATTTTGTTTGATCTCAAACCGCTACTCCTGCTTTTGTAAAAATTTAATCAGTACTTCATTTTGTCAATACAAATAAAATGGTTTTTGAATCATTTAAATCGGACACTCCGTTCTCTCGAAAACTGAAATTGCCTTTTTTCAACTATTTCTCCGTATTTTCGACATGGTTGGACCTGTCTTTGCCAAAAACTAATCAGCACCATCCCCATTAATAGCAATCAAATGTTTTTTGAGTCATCCGTTAATCCGAGTTCTCAAAATCGTCGACGAAAATTTGTATCCGCACCCACACACATACATCAATTTTTTCTAAGGTATGCCAAAACGTTCATAAACCTTTGAAACGTAAAGATATATAAAAATTTTCATTTTCAAAACCGCTGTAGGTAATTTATTGAAATGACAAATTATTTTACTATATATAAATAAAGTTTAAAATTACCTTGTATCAATTTTTTGCAAGAGTAGCCCAACCCCCACCATCACTAAGGCATTAGGATTTAGAGCACTTCTTAGACTTGAGTGCTTAGAACATAGAAAACCTAAAGAACTGATAACTGTTTCTAAATAGTGATAATATAAACAATATTATCTTATTATATATATGACTTCCTAGAAATATGTGTTTATACCCGAGCACTTTGACAACGTGGCGTTATATGATACTATACATTCTTATTTTACTAGTTGCTATTCATATTTCATTTAGTTGCAAATAATATAGATACACTTTATATTGTATAGTTGACTAGATATAACTTAGAAGATTTACTAGAAATTGCATGCTAAATCCTGAATTTTATTGTTCTGAAAAAAGGAAAAATATGGAGCTTTTTAAAAATTTTGGAAAATATTATCATCTTGGAAACAATCAATTTTCTTACCTACCCAATATGTCAAGTTTTTCACTTTGACCAACGTCTATGAAATCACATTTACTGTCGAATTGATTATTCAACAATCTTTTCATCTTGTTTACAAATTTTATTTATTAGAAGAATATCAAGGAATGTGTGCATATTGATGGATTGCACTTCTTTCATCGAATGTGCTAATATAAACCAATCAACTGTTATTAATAATTTACTGCGTTTTTGCATAAACACAATTAGTACGACATACCAGAACTTCAAAACACCGATAATTAACAAATTTTTACAAATATCCTTGTTTGTTTTCACTTCTTGCTCACAATAACATGCAACAAATTTTAACTAATCAAAAGAAAACAATTAATTCACACAATTCCAATATTGCTAACAAAAGTGATATACTGCCCAGCTAAAATATGTTAAATCTGGCAACTGCGCTTGCAGCACTAGTGTGACCAAGGTAGCAAAACATTGACCACGTCAAGCGCTGTTGTCAACTTTCTCACATTATTGCTTGATGTTCTTTATAACGATGCAAAATAAATATCAACCCTTGCAACACTTGCGAATTGCGAGATTAATATGTATTTTGTCGCCATCCGAGTGGAAAGGGTTAACATTTGAAAAGCAACAATGCAGTTACAAACATAATTAGGGAATCATAGATAGAGACATTCAATTCATCTATCACTTTTTTCCAAATATCTAAATTATGGTATGTAACATGAAAATCCTATGCAATAAAATTGAAAAAAAAAACAATTACAAACCCTAAGGGACCGATTCTGCCGCATAACAGACAAATGTTATGGCAAGGCCATGTTACGTAATATGATATACATTATGGTACTGAATCATACTAAATACTGTCAAAATGTCATGTTTATGCTGTGTAATCAGGCGTTTTACACATAAACTGCAACGTCACTCGTATGTTATGAACCTGAGTCACAAAGACCCTGTTATCTATCATTGTGTTTTTGACATTTGTGCAGTTTCTAGGTTAGATTTTCTATATGACAACCTGAGAAAATCGCCTGACTGTACAGCAACCGTATAGCTTTTGTCATTATTTAGAACGAACTTGTATGGAAAGTTCTTCATAACATAGTCTTGCATAACATTGGTCTCTTAATATAATTGAATATGCCAGACATTAAATACAATTATATAGATAAATATACATTTTTTATATATCGATTCTAAACTACAATATTTTAAAGCAAATTACTCCAAAGATTTTCTGACCTGCGCTTTTCACTGCAAAACTCCAACTGCTGTGATTTTCCAATATTTTTCTACTTATATACTTGCATCAAGTAGTACTTTGGTCTCCTGCCAATAAAAAATAAGTAAATCTTATCGTATTCGCAGTACTCGTGATGTTTGCTCTGAGGAAATCAAATAACGTTTTATTTATTTATCGAGTGATATTGACATAATCAATAATGATTTGATTTAGCTGCATAACTAGAATATTATGTATGTACTAGAATATTTGGCTTATGTCTTATATCATATATCCAAACATTAGTCTCAACTTATGTTCATAAGACTAATTGTAAGTAAGTCTTATCATTGGCAGTACTTGTGATATTTGATATCAGCATCTAATTATTTACTTAATCAAGGAGTGATATTTACAGAATCAATTGCGCTTTTTGTCTAACTAAAATCTTGTGCACATGTTTTCAAAGTAATAAGTTTCCAACAGAAATTAGGAAGTGGAACCACATGTGTGGTTGAGGTTCTTATATTGCATATCTCTAAATTGCCATTCCATGTGGTCTGTCTCACATTACATTTTTGACAATTGTCTGGTTCTTTTCTTTGCATCTCAATGACGTTCAAGGATATTTTCAAAACTTGACTGGCCTATTTTTTCTTCCGAATTCTTTTTAAGGCATTCAAGCAACGTCTACTCATTAGTTCAATAGCTGCCCTGACCGTTTATAGAGTAACCTTATAATTATGAAATTAAATTTTTACTTTAATGGATATATAAAAGACTAGTATTTTATTTGGTGAATTCATGGTTGTAAAGAAAATCATCAACTAACACTGGTGCAGTGGAAGATTTTGGACCCATCTAGTTGGATAGTCAGATCTTTAACCACTAACCCCCGGGAAAACCTGTTTTCTTATAAATAATACTCTGATTTTGCTTGAACAAGAATTAGAACTATTCTTCTGTATTCTATAAGTTGTTGTGATAAAATTCATTAAAGTATTGTATTAGAAGATACACCTGCCAGCAGTTGTTCATTCTGTTTGTGGCATTATTATTATTAGGTATTTTTAATGTCCAAAAAGGCTATTTTTACTAGTCATTATTTTCAGATTTATATCAAATACAAACTGAACCACTAAGAGTTCACAACCAGTTGTTGATTCATGTGAACATAAATCCGGGAATTTTTTGTTGCAAGACCAAAGCTAGTAACATAGAGCCACTGACATGCTATGTTTATAAACAATGATAAAATAATTTCTCTTGCTATTAAAATTAAATTGCAATTGTAATGTGGAGTGGCATATTGTTGAACTATTTCACATTATAATCTCAGGGTCGACCACCCAATCAGTATTGATTTTTTTTTTTAATTTTATTTTATATGAACTATAATCGGTCTTAATTTAGTCTGTATAAATTTGAACGCATGCTCTTGGTGAGTAGACGTAGTCAACCAATCATAATCAGGTAAAATAACGGTATTTATCTTTAAATATGGGTATATCAATTTACAACAAAAGATTCATAATACTTACGTTAAGTAAAAATACTAAAAAAAGTTCACCAAATATCGTGCAAAATGTAAAACATCGCACAACTCTGATTTCATTCCATAAAAAAATTTGATCAGTGTGTTCAGTTCGGTTTTTACATAATTATACCTGGTCTTAGATCTTCCAAGAAACAAGAAATATAATTTCTATTTTAGAGTTGGCGAATCGATCCTTTACCTGAGAAACTTGGCAACAGAAACGTAGATTTGGGAGATGTATCTCCATCCAACACAATCCATTTTGTGGATTCTTTAAATGCCAAGGTTCAAGGCGTACAGGTAATAATTATTTGGGAAATATTTACTTTACAGTTAAGATTATTATATAATAATTTCCAGGCAATGGATTAATTGTATCAAGCAATTGAATTTTTAAGGGATTAAAGGATATTTTATTTTTAACGGATTATATTCTCAGGTAGATTTTGATGATGGGCATTGCCCAACTTGGCGAAATACTATTCAGGGAATTTATAACGTGTATATGGCAGTAAATGGAAAGTTACCAGGAGTACCCATAGATATAGAATCATGTCCAATTTTAATGTTAAGACCACGTGCATGGAATATGTATGAACATCATTGCATAGTAAGAGGAATTAAGATCAAACTTACTAGCAACTTATGTATTTCAAGCTCGAATCATATTTTTAGATAAATGGCAAAGTGGTACCTGGCTCTTTGTTTGACTTCTCCATGCTGATGTATCATTGTGGAAAAAGATTAGCTAAGAAGCAATGCGGTCCTTATTTTTACTTATCAAAAATTGAAGGTCCTAACGAGACTTGTTTATGGAACGACATATTTATCTGGTCTCAGAAAATGTTAGACATCAAACAAGGAACTATTAAAGCATGTGTGCTTATTGAAAATATATGTGCAGTTTTTGCCATGGATGAAATTTTGTATTCACTCAAAGAACATTCGTTGGGACTTAATTGTGGTATATGGGACTACTCGGCTTCTATAATTTCTAAATTTGGTAAGGAGTTTTAATGATACCAACTCAATCCAACAGGCGATAACAATTGTATACATTCTAGGATTCAAGAAGTCCTTTATCATACCTGATAGAAACAAATATGTTAATATGGACAAACCTTTTCTGGCAAACTATATGAAACTTGTGTTGAAAACTTGTCACGAGCGAGGAGCACCAGCTACTGCAGGAATGGCTGCTCTCTTGGTTAAAAATGGAAAATCCAAAATGTTAGTATTTTTGACTGCAACTTACCAGACGGTACCATAATACTTTTTATTTCTAGATCTCTGGAAATCGTAGATAAAGTTTTACAAGCAAAAAGAAAAGAAATCCATCTAGGTTTTGATGGTTTTCTAATTTATGATCTAGAACTAGTGCCTTACATAAATGAGGTAGATGAATTCGATAAAACATTTTAATTATGTATTTCCAAACTATAATAATCTATTTTCAGTTGTGGATAAAAGAGAGAAATAAACAAGGTCATCAAATATTAGACATTAAGGAAAACGATCTTTTTCTGTTACCAAAGGGTGGTGTCACCTTTGATGGTCTTATTAATAATATAAAAGTATCATTACTATTTATTTATCACTGGTTTGAAGGTAAGGGCCACTTTTTTCTAAATGGTGCTGTTGAAGATTCAGCAACTGCTGAGATTTGTCGATCACAAATTTGGCAATGGATTAGACATTCGGTACGCCTAAAGTTTCAGAAAAAAATTCAATAATCTGTCTTAAGAAAAGAAAATTTTTTATATTTTTATTTATAGGTGGAGTTTGATGGCGAAGATGTTCCTCAAAGTGAAGTTAATTTCCAAATCGTTGTAAAATTACTTGATAAAATTACAAATGAGTTCTGTAAAACTCTTTGTAAAAGTAACCATGATATAAAACGCATGACCGCTTCTAAATTTCTTTTGCATGAAATTATATTATCTCGCGATTATCCTGAATTTATAACGACTTTTTTGAATGATAATCATAAATTTCGAGCATTACATAATAAGTCTGAAGCTTTGTTCAGTAAATTGTAAGTGTTGAATATGAATAAACTATAGAAAAAAATAAACATATTGTAAACATATAATTCAAATACCATATTTTACTATAATATACCATGTTTTTCTATAATAACTATTAGTTTTTAATATTATTTTTTTATTAATTTTTATTGTTTTACTGCTCATTACTTACTTTAATATATTTATACAGAATATTATTATCATCAAATTGATTTATTGACCATGTCGATTTTTTAGCATACTTCTTTATTTTTCATACTTTTTTATAATCTATTCTTTTCTTTTTATGATTCTATTCATTGTTCTACAAAAAAATATTTTCACATTCTTCAAAATTTGACATCATATTTGTTTTTTACATAATTTTTTATTTAACGCAATTTTTAATTTATATCATAATCTATTCAGTGTTACATCTATACTATATATGGTATTTTTTATTGCAGTTTCAAATATAAGTGGATATCAATACTGTGATGTAATAAATATATCATTATAATATATATCAATTTATCTATTAACTTTGTAACAAGAGTCCTTGGCTCTATCCCATTTTACAATTTGATATCAACAAGTAGTGATATCAATTTTTGCTTGAAAATATTAACATAAAATACATTTCTAACAATAAGTGAAAACAGGTCTTAACCGTCATCAAAAAATATATCATTAATATTTGATAAATTATTAATATTTAATATTTAGATAATTAAATTCAATCTTTCAAATGTAGATATGCTCATGGTAAATGAACAAAGGACAACCTAGTCCTCTGTCCACTCTTAGGGTTATGGTCAGGTAAAATAACGGTATATCTAAGGGTACATCATTTTACAACACAATGCTTCTAATAATTTCGATAGGTAAAAACTATTTTAGAACATCATGCAAGAAACAAAATATCACTATTGTTTATTGTTCAATTTATCTATTAACTGTAAAACCAAAAGACCCTGGTTCTCCTCGTCCCGTTACAACCTGATATCACATTTTCTCCTTAAAATATATCTCTAATTAAAAATTGTCTTTCCTAGACATGCCGCATAAAATTAATTATATATAATCAGTAATAAATAAATTTTGATATTGAAATTTTAAATTAATTAGGCCAATCGTAAAATTACCTTCTGAAATTATTACTACTATTACATCAAATATCAATTATTATTATTGTTCAAAAAAAGTATGAAAAACAAGAAAAAAATATCAATTTAAAGCTTACTTCAGTACGAAATCAGATTTTCACTTGAACTTATAGATTTCAAATACAATCTCAAGTAAAAATGGCGTTTCGGGGGCATTGCTGGAACATACATACGCTTATCACTTTCAGATATTTTGAATTATCCGAACGAAATAAAAAATATTATATACATGTTTATATTTATTGATTTATTCGTTGAATTGGCAAAAAAAATACATATTTTGAATTTGATTTGGATAGCTGGGCAAGAGCGGTAACAGAGTACAAAAAATATTCTTGATTGAGATGATTTTTTTTATTATTAATTACTTCTTTTACAGTTTATAAATTAGTAATAATTTTTTTTAACAATGGTCATCAATCTATATAGACCACATTACAATTATTTCACTGACTGGCTGACTACCAAACTATTGTCTTCAGCTTTTATACAAAATTATTGCTTACTAATATGTTTACAAAATCTAACAGTAAGCACAATTGGTGGCCATTAATTTCCAAATAACTTACAGTGCGTTTCGTAATTGTGAAATAAAATTATGGCTCAAATTATGCTTATAGGATAATATATCTAATATAGGAACCGATTCTACAGTAAAATAGACCAATATTACATAGGGACTCTGTTACGTAACGCTTCTCATACAAAATGGTACTAAATACTATCAAAATGCCTTGAAAACCTAACCCAGGAAACGCAGAAATGTCAAACGCACAATCTTATTATAATTGCATCTTTGTGATGTGGCTTAACAACATATGAGTAAAGTTGCATTTCATGTGTAAAACGCATGGCATTTTGACAGTATTTATTACCAGCTGTGCCTGCGACTGTATTCACGGTAAATGAATTTCCAAATAACTTACAGTGTGTTTCGTAATTGTGAAATAAAATCATGGCTCAAATTATGCTTATAGAACACTATATCGGAACCGATTCTACGGTAAAATAGACCAATATTACATAGGGGCTCTGTTACGTAACGCTTCTCATACAAAATGGTACTAAGTACTACCAAAATGCCCTGAAAACCTAACCTAGGAAACATAGAAATGTCAAACGCTTAATCTTATTATAATTGCATCTTTGTGGTGTGGCTTGATAACATATGAGTGAAGTTGTATTTTATGTGTAAAACGCCTGATTGTACAGCAAATGCATGGTATTTTGACAGTATTTAGTACCATTTTGTATGGGACCATTCTTACGGCATAATCGACTCCCATAATAATCTTCATACAAAAGCAGAGTGGTTAACCACCAAGTTGCCCTCTCGAGAAATATCTAACAGATTATAGAACATCTAGTTCGGCTTAAATACAAAAAATATATATGTATAAACAAATTATTTTAATTTTGTTATTCCAACTAATTGCCGAAACGGCTGGACCAATTTTGACGGGACTTTTGTGTAAAAACTAATAATTTAGAAAAAATATTTACAACATTAAGTTGGCAAAATATTTTGTACCTTGAGATAAGATATGATGAAAAAAAAAATAAAAAAATAACAAATGAACAAATTATTTTTTTTTTAAGTAACCTTACGCGCACTCTTTTTTTATTAAATTTAACGTGAACAAAGTCCCAGGTACAGCTGGTAATAAATAAAATAAAATGCATACTTCAAAAGGAACCTTTTATTATAGTCAAAATCTTTTGCCACTAATAGACTATTTATTATTCTCGAACAGTTTGAGAAGCATCTTGCGATTTTTGCGGGTCTTTTGTGTTGGGTCCTCAGGACACCGCAGTGGTGGGGAGAAACGCCCTTAATTTTGTTTCAGATTTTCTGATCTGAATTCAGTTCAATGTGTTGAGTTGTAAGAGAAGCTTCTATATAAAATGATATAACAGTTGACATTTTTGTGTTAAAAAAAAATTTATAACAAAAACAAAATTTAGAATTTATATTTAGTGTTAGTGATAGTTTACATGTTAGTGATAGTTTAGTTTTACATTTTTGTGATATTAGATATTAAGTAATGGATCGTGAAAGTAATCTAGAGTTTGCAGAATGGTTCGAAGTGTTGACTCTTCTAGATCAGAAAAAATTTATTAAAAAGGTACAATATTAATTACTATTTTTTACAAGCTAATATTCACTTACAACGAATCGGTTTGTTTTTGATGAAAAACATCCTGTCCGCCATTTTTTTGCTTTTTTAACGTTTCGCATTATTTAGAATTTTTTAATATTTGTTGATAAAATACTCGTTGTTTATGATTTTGTGAAAAGAAAATTCTATTTCAGTTAAAATAAAAAACTATAATAGAGATTTTTTACAAATCAGGTTCAGAATGAGATCGATCAGTTTTCCAAAATGAAGGTCAGACTTTAAACGCGTCAGTAAAAAAAAATAGAATTTTTAAAATTTGAAAAATGTTATTTCAAGATCTCAGTTTCCCAAATAATCAGATCGGTTAATATAAAAATTCTTCTACTAATTGTTATAAATTTTCATGCACGTGTACATATTTGTATTTATATGTATTATGTTGTCATAAATATTTTTCTTTACTTTTATGGCCCCTATGTCGTCTCAATAAAATTTCCAAATTTTGCTTTTTGGATACAATAAAATTTTGGATACAACGCTTCACATAGGTTTTATTACGCCCAACTAAACACGTTTTGTATAAATTTAGTACATTGAAGATTCAATAAAATCATACATGGGTAGCTATTTATTTTTTAACTTAAAAAAAAAACGAAAATGAAAATATTTACGTTTCAAAGCCTTCTGAAAATACCTTAGGGAAAAAAATGAATTTTTGTGTATATGTGTGTGGTATGGATACAAGTTTTCGTCGACGATTTCAGCTTAACCGATTATAGTGATTCAATTAACATTTGATTTCTATTGATGGCGAAACTTGCTGATTAGTTTTTAGCATTTTTTTTTTAATTTTTAAAAATCTTCAAATGGTAATACGTGGTGATATCCAAAATTACCCCCCACCAAATATTACGTGTATTTTAGTTACGAGAAAAGAATGTATTTTTTTAACATGTTTGGATTTTTTTTTAAATATCAGTTAAAGAACACGCGTGAAATCTTGCTATACACCTTGCTCCCCAACGTGATATTACGTGATTTTTTTTGTCAAGCCCCCTTTACCCCTATAGTGTTACCTGATTTTTTAAAGAAAAATTTTTTATTTTTTTAAAAAACATTTCCAAAAAAATACAATTTTTTCTCGTAAATAAAAATGCACGTAATGTTTGGTTGAGGAGGGGGGATAATTTGGGATCTCCTGGGGGGAGGGGGTTCTAAAAATCCTTTAAAAATCTATCACGTGATTAATGGACGCCTCCTTATGTTTCAAAGCCTTCTGAAAATACCTTAGAAAAATCAATCAATCAATTTATATATACGTGTGTGTGTGGTATGTTTGTATGTACGTACGGATACAAGTTCTCGTGGACGATTTCGAGAGCACAGCTTAACCGATTAGAGTGATTCAAATAGCATTCGATTTCTGTAGATGACGAGATTTGCTGATTAGTTTTCAATAATAAAAAATATACATTTTCAAAAAATTTCAAATATTGCTAGTTTTTTGAGTTAGTCAAATGTGCGGTACAAACTTCATAAAATAATTTACTTTCGAATCAAATTACTCCATTTTATCAAATAATATTCATTATTATTTCAGAATGTTATTATTTTTATTTCTGATTATAAAGATTGGAGACCATAAAAGTTTTGTGTACTAATTTTTTCTTCGAATTTGAAGCCAACTTCTTCAATAAATCACCACTTGAGTGGTTCTTTTTAAACAATTTTAATCAAGACCGTTGAA